CCAAGTTCGCTGTTCTTCATTGTTTTTCAAACTTGCTGTTGGACTTTGTCTCTCCGTGGTTTTCTATGACTATTTCAGTGAGTTTTCTAACAGTAGATGATTACCATAGTAGATTTCTCTACTCTTGTGAGCAGTGATTTTTTCTACAGATTTTCGTTTTTCACTTGTTAAATGCATGTTTACATGAAACCTCAGGCACAAAACAGCTGGCTCAGTAAATAATGGAAAAAAAAAGCCAATGCAGCAGTAAACTGTTGAAAAACACGTGACATTCAACTGATTTCATATGTACTAGGTCGTTAAGAAATTAATGTCGCTTTTTTTTAGATGAAAAGACCCGAACAACTTGTATATCAAAACAAAACATTTATTAAATGAAATAGTCTCCATTCTTTCCAATTGACATGTGAAGGGCGTTTCTGATGAAGAGCTTGATTTAAACATTCCAGTTGCTGACTCTCTGCATTGACAGTTCGTTGTGGATTGAGGAGTTCGGAATGAATTACTCTTTTGGTGTCCCACCAAATGCAAAGCATCACTTTCTGCAGATCGAGTTCAGGTTTTGGGGGTTGGAAGTAGTTTTTGTCTAGGATTGAGCCATTGTTTTTGGCATTTATTAATCACATAGAGAAATTGGCTGATCCATCGTTGACACTTACAAATGTTCTAAACATTTCCATAAACTTTGATATTCTTTGTGGCTACAGAGGCATTTCCCTTCTTGTATTGAAACAGCATTACGTGCCCACTTTGTAATTATCTTGTATATTTTGTAGGTTAATTTGTTTCAGTGGATGAAAAAAACCATAAATGATAATGAATGTATAACTAGTGAAAACTGATTGGGTATGTGAAATAGAACATTCTGAGCAACAGAAATTGAAAATTTCCTGTTTCACTTATTTCTTTTATATTTGTTTGAATCTATTTTTGATATTAATGATCATATATAAATTTTTATATGGTGTTATTAGAATAAAAACAGACAGAAAACTTGCAGTTTTATTGAAATAAAATGTTATATAGATTCACAAATGTTTATTTGCACAATAATAAAAACAATGAAGGTATAAGATGTAATTATTTTTCTTAAACTTTCTTCTACAGCAAAATATCAAATGTTTCAGAAGATACATTCATACAACTATTAAATCTTTTTTTTTTACATAAGAACTTCATATTATTTCGAAAGGTTGTGTCAAGTTTCATTCATTTCTTTTCAGTGGTTTCTGCTACCCAAAAGATTTTATATATATACTGACAACTAAGTTTTCTTCATATTATGCAGATTTAAAGATGATTAAGATATTGACATATCTTGTGAGTGTGATATATATATTGGAAATATGCTTTATGAGCATTACATATGACACACACACACACCAGGATTATATATGAATATGATTTTGTTTATGAAATTTGTATTTTATTTAGATTTGACTAAATTAAAATTGATTTTATCCATTATTAAAAGACTGTGTGAAAGATGTGGATACATTTATAGATAAAGTTCTTAATCAAATAAATTATTTATTTTTTCTCAAAGTTAACAAAACTGATTGAGGACACTAGTGTTGTGCGTTCTACAAAGATAGCTATCAATTCGGACAAGTTATTGAACTGGCTTGCCGAGAACAAAGTGCTTTCTATAGCTCTAGAAGGTTTGTTTGAATTTTTTTTACTATATCCCCTAAAACTTCAAGTTATTTGTACAGTTTTATTTGTTACTAAAAATCTGTCACCTTTTGATATTAAATTCAACATAATTACTGAGATTAGCATATATATATATGATAAACTTTGATGGAGTGTCATAGTTTTGCATTAACACTAACATTTTCCAAATAAAGCTTGTAGGATTTTGTGTGTAATAGTATAAAATATTTAAAGGCAGAATACTCTGAGAAACCCATTTACTTTCAGGAAACATTGACCACGTGCAATATACCGACAAGATTAAAGGAATCATAGAGTTTACTGGACCCAAGTTATCCCTTGAAGAACTCAGTAAGATATGGCAGATGCAAGTAAGCTTCAGCTGTACATTTTATTTGTTTTTGTATTCTTGTTATTAAAGATAGTAAATAAGCCCAATGTACTAAAGTTATTTGATGACGAGGAATTCACTTTGAGACTAATAATGGCTTGGAGATGGCTTGAATGGGTAAGGAAGAAAAACTGATGATGACAAAACCTTGTCGAAACGTTATACATTTGCTGTTATGTTAAACTTATATTAAAGTTTTTCTTCATTACCCATTCAAGCCGTCTCCAAGCATTATTAGTACTAAAGTTATATATTTGTATGCAGTGTCCTTCAAGATTATGTTAATTTTGTCACGAGTAATAGCCCATATGATTAGCTAAGTCTAATTATCAATTAATAAAAATGTCTTATTGTTCATATAACTTGATACTAATTAATAAGAATGATGGATTGTTTTCATAAGATCGGGCCTAATAAACATTTTGACACATTTTTGCAACTGTGTTTGTGTAATAGCCTTTCTCTAAAATGATATTCTAGCATCTTTGGATTTTATTTGAGTAATGAAGTCAAACACAAGTGATAAAGCATTGGTAATTTGGTATAAGGTTATTCTTATCAACATGGATTTTCCATTGAAAACTACAGAGAAGTTGGTTTTTTCACTTAACAAATCCTCAAGTCATATTGTGATATTGCAGTCATTGCTGAGGATGGATTATAAATAATTAATTGAACAAGAATTGAATAAGGGACCATATAAAGCTTTCAAAAAGCATCATGGAAATCTGGTTGAGCAGTTTGGATGACATTATTTTTACAGTAGTAACTCTGCACACTGTGCATGGTGCTTGTTTATAGCATTATTCCTGGAGATGTTTATATGCACTTGACTAAATAAATATATTACTTGCTTATTGGTAGAAAATTAATAGAAATTGCTTTATTAATGTCTTGAAAAATTATAGTCTTGACTGTTTTCCAAAGGGTGTTTGCAAAAAATGTTTTAGTGTTGTCATTATTATTATTATTTTTTTTGAAAGGCAGTGTTATAGGCTATTATAAAGTTTGCTTTTTCATCTAGCAAATAAAATTTTGGGTGGTGGTTTGGTGATATGCAGTATTAAATGTAGAAAACAGCATATTATAACTCTTACCTTTGACAATACCTTTTTTTTATGGTTAAGATTAAATAATTAATTCTCCATGTAAGAATAAACAGCTTTCTAGAATTCGCAATAGATTCATGAGGGAGAAATTGTAAATTGGTCAGAACTGGATAGGCTACAGATATTATGTACAGTAGATTTATTAACAGATAAATATATTTATTTACATTTGAACAGGTATATTCATCTTCAATATAAAATTAAAGTAAAAGCAAAAAAGATAAGTATGAACAGAACATTTATCCATAACAGTTCAAGAAAACACATAAATATGAATGAATACAGGATATGGTATTTGTCATAAGAAGATTTTGTTGAAATGAGCATGTTGTGGTATTTAATTTTGGAATCTTTTCAATAATAAGGAATGTAGCTTTAACCATTTATCTTGCTTTAGTGCTTACAGTATGATATATGTTTGTATATTTACCTTTTTCTGTAGAATCTATGGCATATATTAGCCTTCTTTCTTCTAGCATTGTGGGATTTTATTTGAGTAATGAAGTCAAACACAAGTGATAAAGCATTGGTAATTTGGTATAAGGTTATTCTTATCAACATGGATTTTCCAGTGAAAATTACAGTATTTGTTTTTGCTATGCGTATAATGCATCCCAGGGGAACCCCAAAGTTTTCTAATGGTTGTAGTGTACAGAGATTGAGTACTTTATGTTAAAACAATTTTGAATATGCAAACCAGAAAGCCACAGGACAATCACAGCCGATATAAATTTGTGCCGCAGTAGCATGTATCAAAACTAAATTTTGACATTGTTTGGCATTAAATAGGTAATGTAATGTTGTCACTGAAAATTGATTGTTTTGGGAAAAAGTATGTAAAATCCTTTCTAACAAAATATTGAAACACCCAGATCATAAAGATGTGTTCAGTTTAGGGATTTTTAATTTCCAACAAGGTACCTTGCATCCTCTCACATACATGGCTATTCTCGCTCAGTGTTGCCCTCTATTTGCAAACGTCTTTTCACATGCCACAAGCTTTCACTCCTACACACACCCCTCCATTCACGTTGTTTAACTGATTATCGCATGCAAATTATCATGTGACAAACTTCCACCAACAGTAGTGCCACACACAAACATGATGCATGTGACTCCCTCTATGCTATTCTACCTTTCTGGCACTTCTCGTTTGGCCATGCTCATGTTCAAACATTTAGTTAGTGCTCTCTTCTAAGTTTTTTTTTTTTTTGTTCCTGTGTATCAATTTCTCTAAACAAGTTTACTATTTATTATACAATTGTGATATTTCCAATTTATTCGGAAGTGGAATTATTTTATATTTCTGCCCAGTTCAGTTTTTTTAGACACATTTTTGTCTCTTTTTAGGGAGAGGGTACTTGCATGCCTTGTCCTCTACAAGCTTTGGTTCAATCTGCCTTAGCTTACCATCAGGCAGATTTTCTTTTTGATTCTATGTACTTAGGATTTCTGTTGCCTGCATGGGTGGCAGTCTTTGTTAATCCTATCCGTTTTATCCCCCACCTAGTTTTCCAGCTTCTTCTTACCCTATCAACTCTCCTACAGGAAATGTTTATCTTACCTCTCCTTTCT